TTATGTCGCCGGCCAGTGGCTAACAGTTTTATCGTTTCGTCAATGTCATAAATTCTGATCTAGTAGCCGAAATTGAACTTAATGCGACATAGACACAACAGACCGGCAATGTGAGGAAAAAGTCGCATCACAAGACGCCACATTTGGAAGTACAGTTGTGCTTGAACAAGAGAAAGGTGTAAATTGTCAAAGGGATATATATTTAATAAACAATTTAATCTTAAATGAGTTTGGCCTCCTTATCCAAATGTGAGTTTTTTAATATGAAAAATAATATGACATCCAAAGAACATCTATTTTTTGATGAACTTAAAAATGTAATATATGAATTTCATTAAAAATGTGTTTGAATTACAAAAGTAAAGGGTCTTAAAGTGACCATTGGCCTTCAGCATACACATATATAACCTAATACATATAAAACTAATTCGAGACCCTGGAGATGTCCAGCAAACGTTCTCCTTCTCTACTTACCAGCCCTTGCCAATAATTACATGATATGATATATGCCCAGACACATCGATAATCGCGGCTGGATAAATTATTATGGTCCCCCCTTCTCGATTGGTAAACCCCAATGGGTTTTCAGCCTGCTTCTGATTCAGATTTAGATTCTGGTTTGGGCTTATTATTTATGTTGCAATTAGCGGTGCATGCTTTTAGGAACTGAACTGGTCAAAGGCGAGCAATTTTAATGACCATTTGAAGCGCATTTCGTTGTTGGCACTTTATTTTTATTTATTTACGTACGAATGCGAATCCCTGCGAGGGGTGAATGGAGTGAGGGTTTCCAGTTTGGGTTAGGAAATTCCTTATCAAGATGTTCGGTCGCCAGTTCTAATTGATAGGGCGGACACGCCCACCACTGCCGCCCGCCCAAGCCGTTCGATATATTCGCGTGTTCATAATTTGAGCAGAAGTGGAGCGGTTGAGCCCCCAAAATGCCACGGAAAATCCACAAACACATTGTGTGCTAAATTACTAAATCACAGGGTGGTTCGACCTGGGATTTTCAACGGGTGCGGGTCAGTTCTACCAGTTTTACCATGGATTTGCACAATTTCTTGGTACTCGCCGTGTTGGCGTGTCGATCGCTCATAATTCGCTTTCGGCCAAACGACATGCCATGCAAGCAAACAAAATCGAAAATTCAGCACGAACATTATCGATAAAATTGCCATTAAAGCACCGCCCGGCGAACCTTATCGATAGTTTGCATCGCTCTCCGTCGGAACGGAATGGAACGGAAGTCGATTTGGATGATGAATGAAGCCCGATGAAACGGTGCAGATAACCCAGGGCCAACTTTCCCCCAAGCCAGCCCCCAAAAACGGCTCGACAAGGGTTAACCAAATGCCAAGGGGTGCGCGGATTTTCGGGGGACTTCGAAACTAAAACCAACATTCAAAAACAAAGAAATATCGTTGGCTTGACTATAAATTAGATTGAACGATTAGAAATCTATCAAACAAACAGAAAAACAAAAGCCTCTAATATATGTATCCATTTAATTTAAGAACAGCAAGCTCAATATTTGAAAACTTATATTGGTTTTGGAATTGGCTTGACAGAAAGGTGACCCCGACCTGCAGTTCTCGAGGGCATTGGTGGACCAACTAGAATTCGAATTTAAAGTGCCATAACTCTAAAAGTTTGTGCCTTAATTTTCCAATGATATACCAATACATTTTTTAACCCTTCGTTTTTGTTTAAGCTTTAAATTTTCTGTCAAATTAATAATACTACCGGTTTTTGGCATTATTACCCTTAATAGCAGTCTATGATTCAACTATTTCCAGATTAGTTTTGATATGTTGAATACTAAACCATTATTTTTCAGATGTGCACTTCTTTGTCCATAATTCTTCAAAGCTTAATCGATTGATCTGCATTGAAATTGGCTTTTTAGAAGCAGGGCTTTGACAACTTAACGGTCAATATATCGAATAATTTTTATACCCGCAGTATTATAATTTTTGTCAAAATTAATCAGGCCTCCGACCTTTAAATAAACTTGTCAGTCCCTCCTAGTTGCTAAGCATTTCCGTCTGTTCGTCTGTCTGTTTCTACGCAAACTATCTCGATTTAACTATCGAGTTCAACCACACACCTTCCATTCTTTGCACGCAGTATAGGATCGGCCGTATAGCCAAATAATTTTCGGAAATGCAATTATTTTTTTTTTTTATATTAAGTTATTTTTTTGGTTTTTCATTTCAATAAATTTGACCACCAAATTTCATAGATCGCTATATCCTATAGCTGCCATATAACTGATTGATCGGAATAACTTTGGTGTTTGTTAAGTTAGGAAGTTGGGATTTTTTATGAGTATTAAGAATGCATCATATGAATAATTTTGAAGAATATAATTTACAGAGTATTCTGCAAGGGTATATTAACTTCGGCTCCGCCCGAAGTTAGCTTTCCTTTCTTGTTTCAATTATCAGGCCTGCTTTAATCTTTCGCTTTCTAATTTCCCCTCTTTTCACTCTCGATTCACACACACAATTCCATTCTATAAGCCGTTGCAAATAATACAATTAAATAAATTTACGTGCGCCACGCAATCTGCATACATAACTTGGTCATAGAAGCAACCACTTCTCAAAAACCACCCCCAACCACCGCCCACTCAAGGACGGGGGGCAGCGCCTGAAAGTATGCAAGAATTCATAAAACTCCGAGCCAGCGACTGTAAAGAAATCAAATGAGTTCGACTGGAATGGGAGCTAGGAATAAAGCTTGAGAACTCGAGAGCTCGGTTCAATCATGCAAAGTGGCGGGCAACTAAAAAAGCGGAACAGCCAAACGGGAAATAGAGGAAAATCGCGGGGGAATATTTTTTGTTGGGGGGGAGATAGCGGGAGCATGACAAAAATATTGCCAACAAATGAAGTCATTTGCATGCATGACAATTGTTATTGCATATTTTTGGCGCACGCGCTAATATCGAAATTGACAAAATGCCCCAAAAACCAAAAAGAAAAAAACCCTCCTCATCAATTGAACTACCCTTTTTTTCCTTTGTTGCTGGATGGATTGTGCTGCTCCCTTGTCGACAAAGAAATTTATGCCACATAAAAAACTATAAACGTCTATAAAAATATGAAAAAAGAGCTGGCAGCCAGGCAATAAAAAGAATTGGCGACAACTCCGGATATATGAGAATATGCTATCTTTATAAGGACGGAAATCGTCCAAAAGTGCGATAGATTTAACAGCATTTTGCGGCTTGTCTGGATTTTTTGTACTCGTCTTTTATTTTTGGGGTTGAGTTGAGAGGACATTGAATCGGAAAGGGTTTAATATACAGCAATCTGCTCTAAATTGATCTCATATTCTAGATGAAGTCATCTCTATTTTGGAGTGGGTGTGGATGATTAAGTTTAGGGGTGCTGAAAATGGAATGGAATTGTTCAGAGTGAAGCAAACGTTTGAAGTTATGCAAGTATGCAATTTTCCAATGCTATGGTTTAAAATAATACATATATTTTCCCATGTTGATGCTCCCAGGACATAGAATACATATTATTTATTTTAATTTTCGGCTTCAATTCAAGAGGGACAGAAGGTAAAAATGCGAACTTGTTTCAGGGGTATATCGCATAATAAAACAACACGCCCAAAAGGTGCAGTCGATGTCAGTTGGCTTTTGGCTTTGACATTTGATGAATTACACGCATATAGCAGCGGCAACAACAACTAGAATCAACTACACATCTAATTAGACTGGGGACACAATTTTATTGCACACTCACTTTGAGTTTGGAGGTCGGGGGTCAAGAGGTCGAGGGTGTGGGATGGTGTGCCTTTTGAGGTGTGTCCCGGCGATTTTTCACACCACTTGCGGTGGCTGTTGTTGCCGCTTCTAATTAATTAATTAGCTTGATGACAAAACAAACGCGCTACTGATGAGCTCGAAACAAAAAGCAAAAAAAAAAAAAACGTAATGGAATTGGAAAATGTAAATTTAAACGGGCGACAAGGTTAAAAATGGTGTACAAAATTGGCATTTAAAGTCTCAATCATTTCTCAAATTAGAGTTGATTACATTTTGTAATAATAATTGCAGTCAAACTATTAAGAAAAATCTCAAAATAACTGAATGACATGGAAAATATAAATAGTTTCAAAACAGTAACTCTTATGTAATTATTGGTAATTAATTATTATTTAATTTTAAAATCCAGCTAAAAGATTTGAATTCCCAATTCAGTTTAAAATTTAATATTCGATATGCTCTTTTATAAAAATCAATAACTCCCCTCTCCCATTTTATATTCCCAGTTTGAAACGCAGGAAAACTCTCAAGGCCGTTTATCATTTGCGGCTCATAACTTTGTGCAATATGCAGAAGACGGCGAAAAAACCCAACCCCCCGGGAGAACCCACCCCCTCCCCGCCACGCCCCCCGTGGCGAGGGCGGCATGTGAAAATGCAAAGCTGTCAATGAGTTATGTTTGGCGCTATCATAAAATTTGACAGGCCTCCACCCTCCGATTTCGCCCACCCATTGGCAGCCTCATCGAATCGCTCGCTTTGGAGTATGCAAATGTTTCCCGGCGGAAAAGGAAGCTTACACTTAAGAAAGTCGATGGAAAGGATTGCGGCTCCCCTCTCCAACTCACTCTACTCCATTTCTCTGTGTCTGGGTTTACTATTTACACTTGATAGTTTTCTATAGATTTATTAATAGATTTCTGCGGCAGGAAATGTTGTTATTGTTGATAAAGAGGCGTGGCATGTTCAATTATAACATATAAGGGAGAAAAAAGATCCTGAATGACCATCGTCCGATTTTTCCCGATTATTTTTATGTTGATTGCCGTTTTTATTACCAGCCAGTTAATTGCAAACTATTGGCGCACACACACACTTGATGCCAATAAAGTAGGGTGGTTATGGAGCCCCTAAATTTGGGGGTTCCGGGTATTAGAAATTATGACAGCCTTCCTCACCTCCCCGCAAATCCTGGAATTTATATAGAGACCATAGACTGAAGTTTGCTTCTTTGCCGAGTGTATTTTTGTTGGTGTCTTTACAAATAGATGGCCATAAAGTAGGCAATAATAGTGCCGGACAGAAGGAGCAGGAACACGATCCAATAGAGTGGTTGAATGGTTTAAGTCTTGGTGGTGCAGCTCGGTGGTTGACTTCAGTGTATATCCCAATATCAAGGAATTGGCTTGAATTCACAATTCAGTATAGAGATGTACCGTCCTCCCTTTTTTGGCATCTCTTTTCGATCTTTCAAGTGCTTGCCGTCTGGAATACAAAACATATTTAATATTTTACAAAATTAATATGAGGGTACTAACCATTTGTCGATAATTAATGGAATTCATGGTCGCCCTGATGAACTGAACTACTGCACTGCAAGGCTCGTTTCACTCCTCTGAACTTTTTGCTCTTAACAGGGAATTTTTAATACTCCAAATTTGAAACAGCAGATTTTGTAACTTCTTTGTTTTCTAGTCTTTTTATGGTCGTCCTTTTTGATTGAAGATATTGGGCGCAAAGTGGGTTGCATCAGCTTGAACCGGCTCGATCAGAATCATTTAATTAGTCGCTTAGCTAAAAAATGCAATTTATTCATTACACACAGCCAGAAAAAACTTGAATAACAGACTTACTTTTGGGTCGTACGTTCAACTGAGTGTTTTAGTTTTTTTTCCACGCTCTTTTTTTTTTCATTAGATGTTATCTAAGTATTTGATGTCTTCTAAGTATTCGATCGTGTGTATGTAATGTACGTGTGGTGTAAATGTAATTTGTATATTATGTGTATTTTTATGCATTCGTTAGTATTTAAACTAGCTCGTCGCTTGGCTATGAAATGCAATTGATTTATTACACAAAGTGAAAAAAATTGAATATTACTTACTTATTTCTAAGTTTTTTCCCCTTCATTTTTTCCTTTCATTCGATGTCCTTTAAACATTCGATGTCATCGAAGTATTCGATGTCACTAAGTATTCGATGTCACTAAGTATTCGATGTGACTAAGTATTCGATGTCACTGATATTCGATGTCACAAGATCGATGACTAATTCGGTGTGACTAAGTATTCGATGTGACTAAGTATTCGATGTCACTAAGTATTCGATTTTGTGTATGTACGTGTGGTGTACGTATATGACAGTAATGCCACATCGACGTGAATCGCTTAAAAATCTGTAGAGCAGAGCATCAACGTACAGGAATCCGATTGGACACCCTCCTTTTTCACTTTACAACTTAAACTACGTTTTAACTTTATAACTTTATGCTTAAAACTAAATGTAAAAACCGACTGAAAATTTTGTTTTGTCTTGTGATTGGTATGCCTGATTTTGTGTCTGACTTCTCCAACATGCTTTCGTGTACTGAACTCTGAAGGGACTGTTCAGCTTAAGTAGCACTTGAATCTAAAAGCAAGGATAGGTTGATCAAGAAAATGGGTACGAATTTCAAATCAGTTCGGGCTGGGCAAAACATACTGAGATAACTTTTCTAAAAACATATCTGATGGTTTTTTCAACATTTTGTTTTTTAATAATATTAATATGCTTGATTGGATTGATATCTTAAATAACCAAATTGTAGATTCTTGCATTTTATATTATCTTTTTACATTTACATCTGTGTAAATGCGAGGATATTTGGCTCTCGACAATTTGGCATTCTTCACCTCCACAGTCTCCAGATCTCAATCCCATTGAGCACGTTTGGAATTCGTTAGAATAAAGGATCCTTTTTTTTTTTTTTTTTTTTTTTTAAAAAAGTATATTTTTATTTAAAGTTTAACAAGTTTTCTGCTACCTATGTGGCAGCTTGAACAGGTTGTAAATATAATATTGATAACATAAGTATAATATAATATACAATAATTCACATTTCTTGTTCAAGAGTATATAATTTTTAGCTTGGAAATAATAATATTAATTTATATTTATATATATCTCGATGGAAGATCGTGTGGGTGGAATCTTTTCAGTCTTCTTTTTGTTGGTCTACTAGTAAGTCTTCTGGCCAGGGAGTTAGGATGAGAGCCAAGTCGTCTGATGTAATTTTCCGCGTGTGTCCTACATACATCGCCTATCTTAGGAATTTTAAGATCTCTTTCGATGTCTCTAGTTCTCATGTACCAGGGGGCATTGCAAAGTAATCTAACGATTTTACTTTGTGCAACTCGAATTTTGTTGAGGTTCGATTTAGCCGTTATACCGTAGACTTGTAGCGCATACTTCCAGATTGGGCTCAAGATGGATTTGTAAATGCAAACTTTGTTTGCCAGTGATAGCTTATTTCTCGGAGACAGGAGCTACGACATCTTGGCTGCCTTTGAAAGCACTGACTGCTTGATCATTGTTGTGTGTCTCTGAAATGTTAGTCCTCTGTCCAATATCACACCAAGGTACTCATAAAAAGTTTCGTGACGAAGGGTAGTGCCAAGCATAGTGATTCCTGAACAATCCAAAGGTCTTTTCGCGAATGTGACACAAGCACATTTGCTGCAATTAATGCCTATGTTCCATTCAGTGGTCCACTTTTCGAATCGCGTCACATACTCTTGAAGTCCTGCTGTTGCAATGTCTATGCTAGTACTCCTGACCATTACAGCAGTGTCGTCGGCATACGTAGCTATGAGCATGTTATCCTCGTCAACTTTTGAACATTCCCAGGAATCAGGCATATCTGAAGTGTACAGTGAGTAGAGAGTCGGGCCCAGTACACTGCCTTGAGGTACGCCAGCAGAGATAGGACGTTTTGACGATTTTTCACCGTCGACAACCACACTGAATTTTCTATTTGATAAAAAGCTTTGGATAAGAATAAAAAGCTGGGGCGTTAATAGAGTCTTTAGCTTGCTCAGAAGACCATCATGCCATACCCTGTCAAAGGCTTGTTGTATATCCATGAATACAGCAACTGTATACATTTTGTCCTCCATAGCTTGCAAGGCAAAGTTTACCACACGGTGAAGCTGTTCGGGGGTACCATGGCTTTTACGGAAACCAAACTGCCACTTTGGAATTGCTCTACACACGTTTTCAAGCTTAAGAACTCGATCGAGAACCACCCTTTCCATCATTTTCCCCAGTGTAGGTAAAAGACTAATTGGCCTGTATGCATCGACTTCAGTGGGCTGCTTTCCAGGTTTGGGGATCATCGTGATAATCGCCGATTTCCATAAGGTAGGATAATGTCCCAGCCTCAGAATACAGTTGAACAGCAGTACTATAAAGAGCACAGCCTTTAGGGGTAAAAGCTTTATAGTCCTATTGTCAAGAAGATCCTCGCCTGGAGCTTTTTTGGCTTTTAGATTTCTTATCTGAGTTTGGACCTCTTCTAGTGTAACTGGGTTTGTGGGTAAAGCCATTTGGAAAGGCCAGTCTAGGTGCATTTGAACTAGAGTTAGATTTTCTACCGGAGTGAGGTGTAAAGGCTTGAATCTTTCCTCTAAGCTGTTTGCAAAGATATCAGCTTTCTGTTGACTGGAGCTGCACCATCCACCAGCCGGATTTCTAATGGGAGCCTTCGGAATGACCTGTCGTTTATATCGATTCGTGAGCTTCCACAAAGAATAGTTTGAAGATGCATCTGGACCTGCATTTTCCAGCATATTGTCAAACTGGTCTTGCTTGTTTTTCGCCAAGACCTTGCTTAGCCGATTAGATAGCCTCTTGTAGATGTTGTATACACGGACATCTCCTGTTCTTGAATATTCCCTCCTAGCTCGTCTTTTTTGTTCAATGAGAGCTATAGTATTTTGTGGAAGAGGACTTCGTCTAATCTGGCTACATATTTTAATGTTTAGATTAATGCTTCTGTCTAAAGCATCCTGAAATTTGTCGATGGAAGAGCCGGGAGGTAGAATGGTTTTTCTTCCGGGCTTATATTGCACTGTGTGGCTTAGTGTTGCAATAACCGGCAGAGAATAAAGGATCCGAAAACACCAAATATCGTTAAGACAATTTTACAGTCTGAGTGGGAAAAAATTGAAGAAAAGGGCACCAAAGTGTTGGTACATCCTGCAAAAGGAGACCCAACCAAATATTAACTAGCTGTGTTTATTTAATCTTAAGTGAACTTAAACTTTTCTAAAGTAAAATATGAAGTATTTTTATGATTTTGTTTTTTATAATCTTATTTATTAAAATAAGGAAACAAAAAGACTTTTGCGTTCCTAAATATATACCCTTCTAAATGGAAATTATTTGAAAATTGTATTTGTTTTAGTTAAACGATATTAACAGATTAAGTTTCACAACTATGGTGTACTTAAACTTTTTTGGTCCACTGTATTTGAATTTCCTTCTCTGAAAAGTGTGCAACTATAAAATTCAATGCACAATGCTAGTGTGTGTTTCTATGTTTATAACTCTGTCAATTGTGTGTATGTTTGCATGTGCAATATTCAACAATTTTCGCACTTATTTTTGAGTATTATCGAAAAAGTTTTCCCATCATCGAAGCGTAAAAGGCAATTGGCCAAACCAGGCACGTCCTCGCCACCCTTTTCCTCCATTTTCCAGATTTTCCCCACACGTTTTACGTGTCCGATTGTGAATGGGAATATTCATTATGAATACCCAGTCCCTGAAACTCTCTATATGTGTGTGTCTGTGCAAAAGTTTATTGGCCATTTTTGGCTATTTTGTGAAGCGTTTAGCAAGCGCTGAAACGTGCCAACATAAATAGTTATTTTGTGTTGATATGTGGCATTGTTTTTGAAGCTCTAGCCAGCATTAATTTACTATTTTTGGAAGAGTTTTGAATATAGTTTTTATAATAGCTTTGGCTATCGTTTTTTGTAACTTTATATTCAATTTTAAATTAGTATATATAAAAGTAATTTAATAAAAGTTAAATTGTGCTAAATTTCCATTCTTAAAATGTGTATGCAGTTTGTTTGATTTGAATAATAAAGCATTTAAGTGTAACAAATTGGTAATAGATTTACTTATTAGCATTTTACTTCCTGAATATGTTATCTCTATTATTGTTTACTTATTTTATGAATTATTCCATCGATACTCGGTTCTTAGAAGCTAAAGCCGAGTTATTCAAATTGGGCCTGGAGATTTTTGGATTTGAATAATCAGTTCTGGTGGCCCACCCCCCCTGATTTTCATCCCTCCACCAACCTGCCATCCGCCCAATCACTCAGCCAACTGTTCATTTTACAGCTTCCCCTTTTTTTGGCTGCCGGAGTCGGTTTAACGCTTAAATTAGCCCAAAAAAACACTAAGGATCAGAAGATATCCCAACCCACCACCGAACTACCTATGAAAATATTTTAAACATTTTTCCCGGCATTCTTGACAGCCGCAAACTGAGGATAAAAACGGTAGAGAAATTACCAGAAAAAAATATTCATTTCGCTTTTCCTTTTTTTTTTTTACGTTGCTTTTCTGATAATTTTTTCGCTGCTGCTTCTTCGTTTGTTAATTTATAAAAAACGCTTGAGGCTTCTTGGCGGGAAGAGAAAGGGGGAGGGGGTTTCGGATGTGGGGTGCAAGGTGAGGCCAAGTGTCGCCTGGTGGGTGGAGAAAAGTGGGTGGAGTAAAGTGGGTGGTGGGGCGAAGGTGCGAGACACGATGATGCTTGGTGGTGGAAAGGGAAAAACTTCAAACGAGATAAATACAATTTCCATTAGGCCTCGTGGAAAATCCCCTCGAACCACATTCATACTTATTTTTATCCATATAGATGCACTGGAATAAAATAGGAAATAGGGATTTTCGTTGGTCCAAGCATCAACACACAAGTCCGCTGTATTTTTGTATTATGTACCTAGACGTAACAAAAACTTTTGAATGCTGTCTTCATTGATAATAATTTAATAAAAGTAATAATGGTTATTTCTGAAATTTTTTTTTCTAATTGTATGGAATTTTGAGAAGGTAAAAAATTAATTATTGTTAGTTTTTTAATAAGATTTTTTGTTTTATCTACATATTGGTATTTGTTCGTATTTAAACCGCTGAAGGTTAACAATTAAATTGATGAGAAACGGGCCATTATTATAATAATTTGTTGTTGTATGACTATCTTATAACAACGGAAACTCTTCTCTCAGTGCATATATGCAGAAATTAAACATGGTCACTTATTTCACTGCCCATTCCACTTGAGGTTTTTTCCTATTGATTTTAGGGCTTTTTCACAGTTTTTTCGTGGCATTTTTTCCCCCAATTTTTGTTTTCAAGAAAACCCCGTAGCCACAACCCCCGTTTTTGGGCCATCTTCGGTCTGTTTTACGTTAATTTTTTAATTGTAAATATTGCCTAGGGTCGAATTTTTCATCTGAGCCCGCAGTTGTCACTGTTTTTTTTCGCCTCCCAACCCAAAAACTTCTCTTCAATCTGCCTCAAGGTTCATAATTTTTCACCCCCTCGACCTACGATGTTTACATAATTTGTACGTTACAACGCGCACACGAATACCACATTTTGAGCTACTTTTGCCCGAAATTTTTAATAGATTTCTGCGGCGGGAAATTGGTGCAGTTGCTGTTTTTGTTGATAAAGAGGCGTAGCATGTTCAATTATAACATATAAGGGGGAAAAAAAGATCCTGTATGACCATCGTCCGATTTTTCCCGATTATTTTTATGTTGATTGCCATTTTTATTACCAGCCAGTTAATTGCAAACTATTGGCGCACACACACACTTCCTCTCGTGATGCCAATAAAGTAGGGTTATGGAGCCCCTAAATTTGGGGGTTCCGGGTATTAGAAATTATGACAGCCCTTCCTCCCCTCCCCGCAAATCCTGGAATTTATATAGAGACCATAGACTGAAGTTTGCTTCTTTGCCGAGTGTATTTTTGTTGGTGTCTTTACAAATAGATGGCCATAAAGTAGGCAATAATAGTGCCGGACAGAAGGAGCAGGAACACGATCCAATAGAGTGGTTGAATGGTTTAAGTCTTGGTGGTGCAGCTCGGTGGTTGACTTCAGTGTATATCCCAATATCAAGGAATTGGCTAGAATTCACAATTCAGTATAGAGATGTACCGTCCTCTCTTTTCGATCTTTCAAGTGCTTGCCGTCTGGAATACAAAACATATTTAATATTTTACAAAATTAATATGAGGGTACTAACCATTTGTCGATAATTAATGGAATTCATGGTCGCCCTGATGAACTGAACTACTGCACTACAAGGCTCGTTTCACTCCTCTGAACTTTTTGCTCTTAACAGGGAATTTTTAATACTCCAAATTTGAAACAGCAGATTTTGTAACTTCTTTGTTTTCTAGTCTTTTTATGGTCGTCCTTTTTGGATTGAAGATATTGGTCAAAGTGGGTTGCATCAGCTTGAACCGGCTCGATCAGAATCATTTAATTAGTCGCTTAGCTATAAAATGCAATTTATTCATTACACACAGCCAGAAAAAACTTAATAACAGACTTACTTTTGGGTCGTACGTTCAACTGAGTGTTTTAGTTTTTTTCCCCGCTCTTTTTTTTTTTTTCATTAGATGTTCTGTAAGTATTCGATCTCACTAAGTATTCGATGTTTTCTAAGTATTCGATTTGTATATTTTGTGTATGTTTATGTATTCGTAAGAATTTAAAGCGGCTCGTTCAAACTCATTTAATTTGCCGCTTAGCTATAAAATGCAGTAGATTCATTACACAGTCAAAAAATTGAATAATATTACTTACTTATTTCTAAGTTGTTTCCCCTTTATTTTTTTATTTCATTCGATGTCCTTTAAACATTCGATGTCCTTTAAACATTCGATGTCCTTTAAACATTCGATGTCCTTTAAACATTCGATGTCCTTTAAACATTCGATGTGACTAAGTATTCGATGTGACTAAGTATTCGATGTGACTAAGTATTCGATGTCACGAAGTATTCGATGTCACGAAGTATTCGATGTCACGAAGTATTCGATGTGACTAAGTATTCGGTGTGACTAAGTATTCGACGTCACTAAGTATTCGATGTATTCTAAGTATTCGATTTTGTGTATGTACGTGTGGTGTACGTATATGACAGTAATGCCACATCGACGTGAATCGCTTAAAAATCTGTAGAGCAGAGCATCAACGTACAGGAATCCGATTGGACACCCTCCTTTTTCACTTTACAACTTAAACTACGTTTTAACTTTATAACTTTATGCTTAAAACTAAATGTAAAAACCGACTGAAAATTTTGTTTTGTCTTGTGATTGGTATGCCTGATTTTGTGTCTGACTTCTCCAACATGCTTTCGTGTACTGAACTCTGAAGGGACTGTTCAGCCTAAGTAGCACTTGAATCTAAAAGCAAGGATAGGTTGATCAAGAAAATGGGTACGAATTTGAAATCGGTTTGGACTTGGCAAGGCACACTGAGATAACACATAACTTTTTTAAAAACATATCTTATGTTCTTTCCAACATTTTGAAATCATTTAGCTTAATTTGGTTTGAATTATATAATTATAATTATATTTCCTTCACAAAATATTAATAAAATATGTTTTTGTGGTGGAGTGGCGTTTGTTTTTAAATTCTAGTTTAAGATAATTCATCCTTGAAGATGGCATCATATTACTGATATTGATATCTGCTTGGCCCAGTGTTTTTCATACCCTCATTTATTGGTGGGTGGTGGTGGGCGTGGCATAACACACATGTGAAGGTCACGACCCAAACAGAAGAAGGAGAGAAACGCTAAAGGCGAAGAAAGCAAGGAGAGAAAGTTGCTTTTTGGCTAATGAAAAAGAAATAAAAGTGTCGAGTGCATTATTGCCAAACACACACTCACACACAGAGGGTAAACGAAGACACACATACGGTTCCACCCACGCAAGCACAAACACACACAAGCACATATCATTTTCCTTGGTAATTGTTGAAACATTTTTAGTACAAGTCTGCGTGCTACGTGTCTGTGTCCTTTACCTCTCCACCCCCATTTTCCCACCTCCCCCCCTTTTTTTTTTTTGCCACTCCACCCCCCTCATTTCGACCGCCGGCTATTATTTTGCACTTACTATAACATGCACATAAATATTTTTGCTTCGGCCCCCCATTTCTCGACACACACGTTTGTGTGTGCGGCTATTTTATTGATACTAACACAGAAAACCCACGCATCCCCATAAAAGGACATGTGAGTGCGGACTTTTCCTTTTTCCCGGCTTGTTTTTATTGTCGCCTTGGCGAATCTCTGTCAAAAAGCAATAATCATCAATTCTGATTCTTTTTTGCTTTTCGGCAAGGACATTGTCGTCTGTTGGTGGCTCGATTTGATATCAAATTGATTATTATTTATGTCGGACGGGGCCCAATTGCCTTTGCCCATTTTTTCTTGGCTAATTGGCGAAAGATTGGACATTGAAATTTGGAATACTTCAACGGATTTCTTAAGCTCAAAAGGATATAACAATAGAAAAGTTATGGCAATAAAATATTTAAAATTGTTAAATAGCATAAGGTACAACTAATACAATGTTTACATCATACATTTAGCTTTAAGTTCATTACCGTTTCTAAGTAGGCTTTTATACTTGTTCCAAAAGCAAAACACTTAGTTGCCTTTTCATAGATATTTTATAAATTTTCAAATCAACTTAGCCTTGACATTCGAATTGTCAATACCATTTTAACTCACAGGCCTTAGGGTCAGTTGTAGAAATACAGACTTAAGAGAAAGACATATATTTCGTTCTTTAAAGTTTACGAAAATTTCTATAAACACAAAATAGTGCGATAGTTTTTCTAAAAATTAAGTACAAAAAGTTTTCTCCTATTGATCTTCAAAATGGGAGTTGGTAATGATGTTTTAAACGGTGTATCACGAGCGATGTGCTTCTCGACTGACCCCGATGGCAATTTCGGTAAGTTTTACGCTATTTCTCGATTTGCAACCAGTTTTTTTTATTCTCTTTGCTTGGCTTCTTTGCCGCCCACCGCGTGGGTCTAAATTACTTAATTTTAATTTCCCGTAGGCGCTCCTTAATCAACAACTATTAATGCTGCACTTTGCTTATTTACGAGCTCCAAATGACTTCCATTGAGTTGAGTGTCGTCCGTTTTCTGCGTGGGCAGCTACTGTTCCTCGCCCCCTTCCTTTTCTGCTCTTTTCATACTTTTCGTACCTCCCTCGTTCCAGCATTCTGCATTCTTAGCTTTTGGGTTATTTATTAGGATGCTGAAGGCACTCGATGAGTCAGCGAAGGAAAAGGGCCACAAGAACTTGCATATTCGAGAAGGAATTGTATTTGGGAATTTATTGCAAAAGATCGAATTTGTTAGAAGTGTCATATAAAATATTCAAGTGACAAGTTTCTAAAAGCCTACATACTGTGTGTACCGAGGTTTATATATAATGTCAATTTTCCATAACACCAAGGGAATACAAATTTTTAGAGAAATGGTGTCTACGCCTCCGAAATTTGTATCATTGTGGACAAATTACAAAATCCCTATAAATATCTATAGATAATATTTTTTCCCATTTTACCAGCTAATTTGTGCCACCCCAAGACGCGACCCCCTTGTATTTTTCATCTGCCATCGCTTGTTTCGCCCACAGTTTGTCACACTTAATTAAAGAAAATTTTAAGCACTTTAGATGTCAATTTGTGCCCACTTTTCGCAGTGCCCAATACGATGACAGTTGCCAGTTTAGACCCCCCATTTACCCATTTTCCCCATCATATTGCCAACCATTTTCAATTGCGTCAAAAGGGGCAAAAATAAAAGTATACGAAAAAAAAAAGAAACGGTTTAATTAAGTTGAAACCCTTTCGTGCGTGCCAGGGCCAGTTGGCAGTGCCATCCGAGAATCCCGGACCCACTTTCCAGAACACTCTCCCTCCCCCTCCCACCACCCCCCACGCCCCAGAGATTCCATTCCGAGTGGCTCAAGTGGCCAAGTCACCAAGAGTCGAGTCTCTCGTCCCAACTTGGGGCGTGTTAATTTCCAAGGTGTTTGCTATTCCAAGCTGTTTCCGTTCTAATATAAAAAATCAGCGTAATTAAAAATCAAATGATTTTTTCCTCGGTCTGGTCCTCAACTCAAAGTCTCTCCCCGTCCGACGACAGCGAAATATCTTCATTAATTTTGCTCTTTTGCTGCGGGACAGCGGGAAATCCTTCGCCTCTATCCTTTCCAATTCATTCAATGCTGCACAATTTTTAACTCATTAATTGGTGTGGGCAACCCTTTTTTTTTTAACTGCCCCTTTTTGGTGTTTCACCCTCGCGTTGCGTTGTGAAAAATCTGGACGAAAATGTCCTGAAAACAGAGCCAAGTGATTTATTTGTTTAATCCTTTTCATTTTCGACCGATTTCTTTTTATTTATTTTCTTGCCCAGCCACTTGAAATGTTGCTGATTAGAGAAAAAAGACCAGAAGACAGGGGCATTGCTGAAAAGGGCAACTAAAATGTGGAAGGGAGGGGGTTGAGATGAGATGAGATGAGATGTGTCTGAAATTGGACGAGCCTCACTTCTTGGCATTTATTAAAAGTTGAGATTTATTTTTCGAAGAAGTATTAAATTCACCATCTTATTAAGCAATGAATTAATATACCCACTTAATCCCTTACCTAAATTCCCAATACTCTGCCTCGAACACCGCTTAATTGATTCGTTATCGATTCGCTTTGACCCTCTTCATGGCCCATCAATATGGCTAAAAGTGAAAAAAAAAGAAGAGGGGCCAAAGGAGGATCGACAGACATTGAGCGACCAATGCGACTGGCAACTTGTTTAGCTGATTTTAATCCGCATTCGATACGGTAACAATTTTTACTTCATCACTCTCCCGGCAACCGAATGGCCATCTCTTCATCGGCCGCATCTGAATCTGAATCCGAATCCGAATCTGAAGCTGGTGGCTTCCACACCAATCAAGGAACCTCGAGGGGCGGGAGACGAGACGAGCTTTTGACATTCGCATAACTTCCGATTTAATCCCAGCGCGTGAACGTCGTTGTCGTCGTCGATCCCCATGTCCCAATCCCAAAAGCGGTTCCACCTTCAGTAGAACACCGTACGAAATCATTTAGTTAAATGGTACTTATTTATATTAAATAGATTTTACATTAATGTAATAGGGTGGAGCCAAACAGGATTACCGAACTAGCAATCAAATTATTGATTACAAACACATTCATTTAGCCCATTTCTATTAAAATGGTAAATGGCAATGGTTAATTAAAGTAATTAATTATTGGTATTTAAAAGAAATATATTATACCTCTCATTAGGCGAATGGAAATTGCTTAATTTTTCTTCTGATAACTGAAATTATGGTAATGCAAATTGAAATACCAAATACGTTTTTTTCAGTGGTGGTGCCACTTCTCGGATCGCATTGCCTCTTGCTCCATCTGCTGAGTTATGCGCTTCTGTGCGTTGTCGTATTTTGTAAGCTTTTACGCGCCGGCTACCAAGAGCCTCAAACCCAACTAAACCGAACCAATCCGATCCTATAGAAGTATCCCATCATTCCCCCTTCATTCCATTCCTTTTCGATACGATCCTCGATCCCCGACTGCAGCAGCGTCGTTGAAGCGATAAAAGATCAATTTAGTTGCGCCACAGTCGCCGCTGATTTAAATCCGATCATTGCGCGACGATTTGATGCGAACTGAAACATGCACAAGGAATTTGCAATTATCGAACTTCAAAGGCCCTCTCTCCCAACATTTTTTTCTTCTGTGCTGGTCATCTTACAAATTTGATCGCGGCCTGGGAATCACTGGGCTGATTATTAGGTGATATTGCAGACTGTAGATCGGTTAATTGGCATTCCCTGGCAAATCTATTCTGCATTTAACCCGAAATATAATATCTCTTTCGGTAATGCTAAGCGATTCTAAATCAGTGTCGGAATAAAACGGACTTGCGCCGGGAAAAGGGCAAATTACTGGTTTGGGTTGCTGCTTGCAGCTCTAAAAATCAAATAGCAAAGAACTACAAATTACATGCCAAAATGCACTTCAATACAAAGCACTTGGGTAAACACCAGCAGACAGAGGAGGGTGGGGCCAAATCGAGGGGAGGTGGGGGGGACACACCTGTGGGCCGCTCTGGATTTTCCTGTTTTTCCCGCTCGTCCCTGCCTTTTCCTTTTCCTTTCCCCCACCTCCCCATTGGCGATGTAAACCTTAAGGTATTTTGCGATAATTGCACTTTGCTGTTGTTGCTCCTGCTGCCGGTTGCCTTTGCTCCTTTTCGTCCTTGCCAAAAAGAGTTTGCCAGCTACCCTTGTCCCAAGTTCCAAGTTCCTAGCCCCAAGTCCACCTCCCACCTACCACCATCCACCACCCACTGCCCACCCACCAAACTTCGCATGTCTGTGCGCAAGATAAACAAAAGACAACTGTTCCACGTGTTTGTGTGTGAGTTGTCTGGCACATGTCTTCGCTTTCCACCCACAACACAGAGTTTTCCCACTACTTTTCAGCTATTAATAAAGTGAAACTTCGAGCCTGGGGTTTCCATATCAACTTGTTTGCCGTAGCCGGTGACGACTGTACTTACTACTACTTAATTAATTCAAATCTTGCTAATTGCATTTTATTTGCTTTCGCTGCGCAGATTTCAAGTTTTTAATTGCAAATCTCTTTTCCCTTATTCAGAAAAACCCACACTCTTCATAAACAAACTGACTTTCCACTTCATATCCAATATTGTCATGTCTTAAGACTCAATAGCTTATGTTTACACATGTTTAATAGCTTGTACTACTAGTTCTTTTATAAGAATCTAATCCATAGGCTTATTTTATCATTCATATATATTATCTCCTTCGCAGAGGGCCTTCCTGGGCTAGTGAACCGGATCATTTTGAAGTTCTATATAGCAGTTGACTTTGTGCTTGATCGGCAGGAGACACAATATCATACAACTTTGGTGATTGGACTAGCAATTATTGCCATGGCAATTTGCGGATTCCTAGTCACTCTTATAATGAAATCTCAGCGTGCACCGCTGCTGGTGAGTCTTAAAAATGATTGCCCAGTAACTTTATTTTCAGACCTATTTATCCCCCCCTTCCACCAGAATGACATATGCCGTGACGGGCCACCAATTATTGTGGAAGCACCGGAAGTCGCAAATCCTACCAACAAAGATGGGGATCAGCAGCAGGAGGAGGATCCTGATACTTTAACCAACTCGGATCTCTTGATTGAATCCCTATCAGAGGGGACTGACGATACTTTCTCGAGCACCGATGCTTCCGACAATAATGCATCTATGGCAAAGACCAAGATGACCTCTTATATGGCAATAAATGAAGGAGTGGAAGAACTTGTGGCAAATGGTGATAATGATGCTGAGTTCGAAATACCGATATTAGATCTGGATCACTCCGATAATGAAGACGATGAAAATGGCGGCCTAACCTTGAGACGTCCACCAACACCACCACCGAAACCATATCAGCCAGATGAAGTCGAAGTGGAAATTAGGAATTTAAACCTTGGTCGCGCCGACAAATCGCACAAGGCGGTTAGTCCATCTCGGGTGACTAAACCATCCGTAGGTAGTATCAAGTCGACTGATGCCTCCAAGATTCCCAAGATGATTCCTTCGAATAAGTGTTGTGGCAAAAACCAGGTGGTGGCCCCACCCGCAGAACCCCATAATCGAGCTAAGCGTTCCCGATCTGTGGCGAAAAGCTCGAAACAGATTCGGGACCTAAGCTATTGATCTTCGCGTTTTAGTTGCTTTTAAGAGTTCCTTATTATACTTAGATAATTTTATATTGTTTATTTTTTACTAGCCGTCGATGTACACTTAAAAATTCCGTCAATTCAAATATTAACCAGTCATGCTATGCTGGTTAAAAAATGTTCTAAATTCAGATTGTAAACTTTTTAAAGACTAACAGCTGGTTTCAAATTGTATGATTATAGTATAAATATTTCGACCAATGAAATACTATTATTGTTTGTATTTATAAGGGGAAAACTGGGGGAGTAAATATACATACAACATAATGGTTTTCTAAAGAAAATTCTTCTTAGAGCCAACATGATTTTTAAACAAGGCCTTTATTTTGCCCGCTATGTGATGTCATTGGGTAAACTAGTATGAAATGGAGCCTAAAACGTAGTGCGATCCCAAATCCCAACCCGAGGACACGTTCCTGCCATCATCATGTTCAATGGCCGCTCAATAGACTCTCCTCGTATCTGCTGTTGTAATTTGCTAGCCCTGCCAGCTGTCGCTGCGGTTGGCCGCCTAATGGCCGTCGAAAGGGGAGAAAGGGGCGGAAGGGGCCAAAGGACCCCGCATTTCAGCAGCCCCCCTCAGTCATATGGTGCAGACTCTCCGACATAGAGAGATACATCCCCATGGCCTGGGCGACTTTGGATTTCATTAAACGCAAATTTATGCCTTTACTTGAATGTCAAATATTGCAAATGTCAAACGATGAGGCGGTCACTGAAAGAGCGTGGGGATATGGAATAAAACACTGGAAGAAATTCTTGTATCAACTATATCATCATAGATAAAGCTATCCATATTTGTATAGTTAAGACTGGTAGGTGGTAACTTCATGTAGAAGATTTAATGTATTCTGATCATCTTAGGAAATGAAATCCTTACTAAACTATGGCGTAGATATGACTAAACTACGAAATTACGTTTTGGGAATTTTTACATACTTTTATCTTACGAAATTACATATTACAAATAATCATAATTTAAGATTATTTACTTAGCAATTTCTTTGTTTATAAATAAAGTAGGGAAACTTATTAAACTTATTTAAAAGACCATTCTGCACAACAATTAATTTTTTTTTTAAATTAATGATCTGTTTTTTTCAGTGCATGGCATAGTATGGCATTGAGTCCCGTTAGACAATAGTGTCCTTCCTTGGGGTAAAGGAGGTGGCCCATCGACGAACCCAGTCTCTGTTGGTTTTTATGCGTTGTTCGTTTTGTAATTAAGCGACGCACTTGGTTGGATTTGGGTTGGGAATGGGAATTGGAATGGGATTGGGATTGGGATTGCGAACGGGAATGGCAAACGGGAGCGGATGCGAGATGTGCTTTAAATGGGGCTGAGGCTGGCCAGTATATATAGATATTTAAGTTTCGGTCTGGCAACTGATGGACTTGCAGGTCCTGTCTCGAAAATCGACATGAATATATTTGCCCAGCTGGTTGGCCAGTCATCCGCCCTCCCTTTTTTCTCGATGCACTGACCCAACCATCTACCATCTAAAATTTGCGGTCAAAGTTGGCGTTTGACATTTATGCCGGATGTCAAGCCGTCCGAAGGAGCAGCAAGTCCAGTCCTCGGACCATTGTCATCATCAGTGGTGTCCATTTTGTGCTTGTTATTGTCACTTGCCTTGGCCTTAACTCTTCTTTGTCCATTTTTTGTCTCCGGTTTTTACCCCCAAAACAAACCAAAGCTATCAATACCAGGCGAATGGGGGTGGGGAGGGGTGTTGGAGTGTTAACCTTTTCTGGGTCCAAGTTATTGTTTGTCTCGTTATAGTTTCTATTCAATCGGGTCGAATAGGGTCGGGTCACTTAGTTTGGCTGGCAAATGCACCCCGGAGGGCGTTTTCATTTTCATTTTCATTGCCATTTCCATTTCCATTGCCATTCGGATTCAGATTCTGATTCGGATTCGGCTATTTGTGTATTTGACATTTGGCTCAAGTGTTGCTGACTTTTCGGTTAGTTCTTTCTTTTCTCCCGTCCCATTGTTTGGCTTTCTCTGTGGGTTTCGTTTGCCTGTTTTCGTTGTACTCTTAATTAAAGTTTGGTCAACTGCTTAATGCTCAATGGATCGGTCAGCCCTAGGTCATAATGAGAGTTTGATATTGGTTGGGGGTTTACTTCCAAAGGGAATAGTTTCGAATATCTTTACACACTCAAGCCCCTCATTTTTTGGAGAGAAAGAAAAGCAGTTGTGTTTTCAATTAAATTTAATCAAGTTGAGTTTTAAGATCCCTCATTTAATGAAATTTAATTATAAAGACGAAATAACAAATCGTTTCATCTTTTCCGTAATAAAAATTTCATTTTCTATTTACGTTTCAAATAATTACAGGCATAGCTCCGAAATATGAATATACCTTTTTATACCCTTGCAGAGGGTATTATAATTTTGGTCACCCCATAAAGTATATATATTCTTGATCAGGATCAATAGAGGATTCGATATAGCCATGTCCGTCTGTCCGTCTGTTTCAATACCGTTTGCGAGCTCAGTTGAAAAGCTAGCGATCTAAAACTGTCACAGTCGTCCTAAAACATGTGTACGCAGATCAAGTTTGAAAACCGCCCCGATCGGATGTCTATATCCTATAGCTCCCTTAGGAACAATAGGGTAAAATCGGTTAAAATTTAATGATTTTTAGGATATTTCGCGCAGTATATAAGCTATTGACATGAATCTTTTCAAATCGTATTTTTGTATGCTTACCTGGATTGGGGGGGCGATCGGACGTCTATATCCTATAGCGCCCATAGGAACAATATACCTTATTCCTTTCGCTACTTTTTCATTTTTAGCAATTTCGGCAAAGTCTGCAAGGGTATTAAAACTTCGGCTTGCCGAAGTTAGCTTCCGTCTTCGTTAATTTCGATATAATTTATTATGTTTTTAAGTAATAGTTTTCCGTATATCTGAGGATGTTCCTGGGAGACCTTCTCTTCTTTTCTGTTTTTTGTCCACTTCCACTTTTTGCTGGAACCTTTTTACGATGCTTGGCCCCAAAAGAGCATCACGTAGCGAATCACTTAACTTGATTCCATGACCACCCCCCATTTTGCCGCCTGATGAGGCTGATGGCACAATGGGGAATCCCCGGGAAACACACACAACAAAGGAATACGAGAGTCTGAAAATAATTTGCAGTTATTTGAGGCAAGCACGCAAATGCGTTCGAATCAATTGTCCGATTGCGCCGATTGTTCAGATTGTGATGGTTAGCCTTCTGCTTCGGCTGCCCCCCTAAAATTCGTTGCCCTTCTTGTTTTGGCCGCAAAAAATGCGTTCAAATTGAAATGAAAAGCCCAGCGTGCAACGCATCTCAAATGAGTCAGTTTCAGGGGGGTGGTGAAATTTTCTCGCCGCTTATTTTTTTTTTATACCTATTTTAGAGGGGGTATATTGGCTCAGCGTTAAACTTAAACGTAAAGAAATCAAAGAAATAAACAGACTAACAGAAATATAACCGATTCTAAAGAGAAGCACAATGGTCAAAATATAAAAACATAGAATCTGAGCTTAGCAAAAACGAAAAAGTAAATGACTTTTATAAAACACCATTAGATTTTTAAAAGTTTTGCTTAGTATTTTATAACTACAGAAAAATGTAATATATGTTTTAAATTTGATCATCAGGAATATAGGGTACCTAAAAGTTGGGACACCAAACAGAAGCATTATTTCTGGTTGTTTTTCTTTTTTTTTTTTTGGGTGCGTGCCGTGTGCGTTTAGAAGGTTCACTTTTACTTGGCCAGTGCAACTTTCACCCGGGATAAAAAGGGGGCGTGGCCAAGAGGCTGGTCAACTGGCGGCACGTGTCCTAATTTTTTGGGGTATCTTGTTTTTTTTGTGCTTTTGGCCTATAAATAATTTGTGGCAGGCGCTCAATGAGTTTGCTTTTTTTCCAGTGATGTCATTTGTAAATGGCATGTTATCAATTTTCGAGATGATTGAATCAAGTGATTTGTGTGCGTGTCAAAAGGGAGTTGTCCGAGAATTTGGGATTGGGGATATAATATCTGGGATCTCAGCCGCCCACACACAAAAACACACACACACGTGTCTGGGAAACTCCTTTTGAAGTCGCCCGTTTGTTGGTTTTTCGGCTAAGGAAAAATATTCTTAGACTGTTTGCCTCTCAGCTTATTAAGAGATTATCAATTTCTTTTGATGCAAGACGCGTATACTATCTATGCGGATGAAAATATGGTAGGTAATGAGAAAATTGAGCTGGGATAACGAGGCTAATGGCTGGGCGACAGCCAACTAATGGCAGTTGAGAAAACCGGGAGAAAAAATCAGGAAAAAAGAGGGCGAGCCCACACATCCATCACAACACATCCTTGGTGTTTTTTTTATATTTTTTTTTTTTTTCATATTTTAGTTCCCAGAATTGACTTGCAGTTTGACTGGCAACAGATGCGACCGTTGTCTCATTGCGAATGCACAAAGACAAAGTTGTCCGGCGGTGCTTAACCCTTCGCCAGCCCCACTCCCCCAACGCACCCCCATTTAACCCCCTCGGTGTGCCCTTTCTGCATTAAGAAATTAAAATCTGCCCTAGAAAAATACACGGAAAAGTGTGTGTTTGGCTTGGTGCACATGTGCTGCCAGCTTTTCCCGCCCATTTCCCTTCTCGCCTTCGACATATAGCGGTGTTTGCCGCGCGAGTGTTTTGTTATTTTTGCGGAAGTTTTGTAATTGCGGAAACGGCAACTGCTTCAGTTTCAGTCTCAGTCTCAGTTTTACTCCCAAGTCCCTTCTCCAATGGTGCACTCCAAAAAAAAAGGTTCCCTTACTTGGTTAGAATTTTAGATCAAACAAAAATATAAAACACTGAAACAATAAAAGAATTCTGATTTACACACTAGATCAACACACTAAATCATCTTAATTGTGTGCAAATTCAAAATAAATTTAGAAAGTAATAAGGTATACATAAATAAATTAGATTTGCATAGTTTCATGTCAATAGCCTTTAATAATTTTTCCTGCGGAAGCTATAAGATATAGACGTCCGATCGGCAAGCGCTTTTACCCTGATCAAGGTATGCCTAAAAAAATAAGATTTGGAAAGATTCATATCAATAGCTTTTACACTGCGAGAAATATCATGAAATCTTGCAAGGTATATCCGATTGTTCCTATGGGAGCTATAGGATATATTTTAAAGGGTCGGAGATGTCTCCTTCACTGCGT